TTGGTTTCTGCAAATGAATAGACAGCAGCAATGATCGCAGATGTCAACCAGGCGACAGATATGTAAGAAAGAGCAAACGTCTTGGTCATTAGTTTGTGGTAACGTAATGGCCACCGGATTGCCGTGAGACGATCTATTGTAATTCCAACCACATTGACGATGGAAGCAAGCAAGGCTAACTTGCCTACAAATTTCATTATCATGATGTATGTAGCATTGTTTTTCAGAACTGGATAGCAAATTGTATTTTTTACGTGAAAAGGCATATATATTGCTGATACTATTAAGTCAGCAGTCGAAAGGCTCAAGATCAAGAAGTCTGGAACGGAACGAAATTTGACGTTCCTTGTGATGGCCAGTAACACAAGGCCATTTCCTAGCGTTCCAACAATGGCGCCAGCAATGCCGATCATAGATAAGGTTATTACTGAGGTGAATGTCAACGTCCATTGTATTTGAGAGTGGTCGTCAGAGCAGTTTGTACATCCAGAGAAGTAGGACGAGTTTGAAAATACTCTTTCCATTTCAAACAGCTGAAGTAACAGTGGTTGGCTCTTAAGATCTGCAACAAGGAGACTTTGGTCTTAAATATTGTAGGCTATGGCCATTACATAAAATTGCTGCAGCTGTTTATACAAACAGCTGCATATATTAGCACAATGTGATTCAAGCATCAAGTCAAATAGAAGGGAATCTCGTTAATAAAGTCAATCTTAACCGGCTACCGAAGCTAATGATTATCACCCACGCGTGTGACGATAAGTAAACTTCAGAAGACACAACTTTTGTAACTCATTTCATGTTATAATGTTTCAAGTCGGAAACTTCCGCCGAGAACCTCTGCTTCACAGAGTCAATAGGCATAATAGAAGTTGACATGAAATCACGTTTTTAGCACTGACTTCGCAACGGTTCGCTCACAATGACGTAAATGAATTGAAATACTTACTGGAACCACAGAGGAAAACACAAAAGAGTATCCTATCGAACAGCTACAACAGTGAATCGGGAAATAAATCCCGTATGAACCTGAAATTTATCGATGAAATTGGTCAACAGGCTTCACTCCTGCAACCGTCTATACAAGGGACTTAAGTGCGGCGTTATTTCTTCAACTTGAATTTATAAACGATATAACCTCTTACTTTTGAAACGTAGAAAGAATTCGTGTTTCTTGCACGAACATTAACGAAGCTAGAGCTGATTTTCTTCATAGCTTGATGTATATGATTTGTCACGGTTCGAATTTTTCTTTTGCTCGAGTCCTCGCGCCTCGTGTGTACACTTACGGTAAAATCACGGCAGACGAAGCCTTGACTTATGTGTAAGTCCTTGATAATGAAAGATGGTTTAGTGGATAAACAACTTACCTATCTGAAGTAAATGCCATCGACGATATGTCTTGATCCTTTGGCTCCAAGCAATGATTTCTTCCAAATCAACGAATATGAGTGAAAAATTTTAGCTTTAGGACAGACGTAAGTCCTCCACGTCGTCAATCCATTAGAGCTGTTACACGAAGGCGAATGACGACAGTGATAAATATTAAATAAGTCACGAGAATAGTAACCCACTTAGGAGTAGTTATTTTTGTTTCTTTCGGCCACGGAAACCACTTCAATGAGCGGTTCCTGTAAAAGGCGATCTGTAATTAAATGCTTTGTCTAAAAGAAGCGCTCAACCATGAACCACGCTACACTGCAACACTTCAGTTCAAAAGGACAAAGACAACCCGTAGAAATACCTATACACAGCATTTTTTTTGAATAATTGTATCCTGAAGTCATTTGCTAAGTGCAGTGCTGTAAGGTTAATGCTGAACGTTATTGTAGCCGCTTTTGAGAGCTTTAAAGCCCCTTCCTGTCCGTAGATGATTAACCCAAACTGAGGGAGAAAATAATGAAACGGGAGCTGTAAATGGTTTTTGAAAACTGCTTTTTCCTAGTCAGGTTCCATTTCCATTAAAAAAGACAAAGATAAACAAATTCTTGTTATGCACTCTTTGATATTATATTGAAGACAAAAGCTAACCATAAGATAAATATAGAATCCATACTAAGGGGGCAGATATTGAAAGTAGCAGCTTTCTATAATTTCTTTAGAAAGTAAATACCAATACCAAAAAATTAAGTTACTATTAGCAACATATGCTTTGCGGCATTGGCTCTATTTTCAAAGGTGCCTGAATACCGTACAGGTTTCTTTCCTTGCGATTTTTCATAATTTGTTGCGCATTCCCCATGACATATAAAATAAAATAAGGCTGCATGAGAATGTTGGTGCAGCAAAAAAAGCGTGATAAGGCCATTGATTTAATTGAGATTTTTGGGGGGTTATTTCTTCGTTGACTGGAAAGTTCTGAGAAAAGCTAAGAATTTACCGTATAGTTAGTTTGACATTATGTTGCTATCTGAGTGCTTTACGAATCTATTCAGACCATTTGATTCGTCAGAATGATTTTTTTTGCCTTGTCTTAACCGTGGGTAGCAGGTAAAAGCCCGCACATAAGCAGTAGATTAACAACTTATGGCCATTTTTCTCAGAAAAAATTACAGCAGTTTTACTACCCAAGGCTGTTATCTAGGCTCTAAACGAATGTAAGTGGCGAATGATTTCACAATAATAACTCTTCGAATAAACACATTGTTTTAAATCTCACCGGTCGCAAAAATTTAACTTTTTCTCCTGACTCTTGGTAAAAGATCACTGGATAAGCTTTTTCCTAGGTCACCTTACATCCAAAAGGATGATGTGAGATGCAAGACTATGTCTGGTTTTTCTTTAAATTCACAATTATGCATTGTTCTTCACCAAGATGCATTCGAAGCAATATCAGTTGATAGGGCCAATGAATAACCAGTCTATCTAATTTCGACAGTAATAAGAAGTGACTGCGGCACGGAATGTCAAGAACTTTTGACTCGGTCGAGCACGGCCCGGAAAGCGAATACATTATGGAACAAAGAATCAATAAATTCCTTCATGGTTTTATAACTTTCTACAGGAAGTTGATTGAAAGCGACTGAATACTTCACTACTCTGGTAAGATCTTTTAATCACTTGGGCTATTTATGATCGACATACCATCGCGGTTCTTCTCTAAAAGGATGGAAAACTTCGTAAATTCGGTAGGTGTAACACGCAAAAATTGGTGACTATCAAGATGAAGTCTCATCGTAAATTCTTGCAGCCTCCATTTCAGAGAAAACCTGTCAATGCTTACGCGACGGAAAGGAAAAAGGGCCAGGAAACAAAAACAAAAAACAAAAAACTTCAAAGCAAAACAAACAAACAAACAACAAAAAAAAACATTTTTCCTGTTGAAAATATCAGGACTTTTGGTTGTTTGTAATTTATCTTGGAGTGATTGTTTCAATATCATCGGGATCTTTTTTTGGCCTTCGGCCTTCGAAAAGCAGCAAGCATTGTAAGAAAAAATCGATTAGCGGCGAAGGATGTTTCAGTGAAAATTCAAATGGGGAAAGGGCGCGCTTAAAGCAGCGTTGGGGGAATTTTCTTCTACATTAATGAGCATTTCGCTGCCAACAAGTGATGAAGATGAATCCAGTAAATAGAGCGACAAATGAATAAGTAAAGAAATGCGTAAGTAGAGTTAAAGAGCCAGTCATAACATGCTATAATTCAACTACAAAGACAAACCATAGGGTCATTGGCTTCGCAGTTGAAGTTATACAGTTTATTTTACAAAATAAAAATAAGTACAAAAATAGATCTAAGCGAAAATCCAGAGAGCAATCGATAATTGCAAAGCTAGCCACTCGTTAGCCTAGCTTCGTTGGAACTTAGGAAAGCATCGCAGCCTCCCATCCGCTCCCCTCGAAAAAAAGACTTCATTGCTCCTTGATTGAGTGTCTCAAAGGAGACGATCCTCTAGATTTTGCTCCTAATGAAAATATTTCGGCCATTATTTATCAAAAAGAATAAAAAACCAAACAATAAAAAAACAAAAGTAGTTGGTTAATATACGAATTTTGTCGGTCATTATCCCAGGCAATCCCGAGGAATCCTGATTTGTTTCATATACAGATAGGTACATTTCCCTGCTAAACTTTCTAGAGCGTTTAAGCAGCTACTGAATAATACTTGTTTATACTGCCATAGCATAGTATATCTGCTCTGCAGTGTTAAGTATTAATTCAATCATTACTTTTAAATATATCACTTTCATCTGTTGATGATGTGCTGGTCTATCATTCCCTTTCTATCGTTTAAATATTTTTTTTCTCACTCTTTTCCCTTTCCCTCTGTAAAAACTTTGGACCTATGTCACTGATAACACAAACCCTGAAGATTTATTTTTCCTAAGGCTGTTTGGAGCCACTGCTATCAAGTTATTCCTTCCTTTTATCCTGCTTTTTCTCAGTTCTTTCGACCTAACCTGTTCGATTATTGTAAATATGGTTACATCTGAATTCATAACCACTCCACCTACGTATAAGAAATAAAATGAAAAAGGATAATCACAGTACACTTTTGTTTTAAAGGTAAATAGACGATTTAAAAAAAGTGTAATACTCCACATTATTTAAAAAAAAATGGGTATTCTGTACTTGACCTTCGAAGAATAATATCCAGTTGTTGTATTCTTTAAAACCTTAGTAAAAAGTGCAAAACTGGGTTACCTTCGCTACTGATACTCGTAGTTATTTTCAATTTTTTTCACCCTTTCAGATAGCGTCAGCGCTAGCACTAAGGGCAGTAAAGAAAATTACTTCAGCATCAAACATGGCAGTAGTAATAGTTACGTGGTAGCAATTACAAAAGTTGTGGAAAAGTTAATAGTGGGGGAAAATAAAGGCATTATCAGTGTTTTACTAGTGAAACTAGTAGCCTTACGATTGGTGGCACTAATAACAGAAACCAATAATTAATTTATCTAGGTCCTGGTTCATTGGTCAAAATAGTTGCAAAAGATGTTGCGCCAAAACATGTACCAAAACGTGTTGTACAAGCTCTTGTGCAAGGATCTCAACGGTGTAAACCGTTACACCGAAAAACGACAAAAAACAAATAAGTAGTCGTTAGGCGTAAACATTGACAAATGTTAACCATTAGTCGTTACAAAAAAACAAAATGTAAACATTTTTCCTCCCATAGCAACGGAAAGAAATTAAGCGGCTGTTGTGAAATGTTAACCGTTTGCCGTAAAAGCCACCACCCCATTGAGACCCCCTTTAAGGTTTAATCAATTTTAATTAATTAAGTGTCCTCTAAGGTGTCTAATTGGCGCTGACTAAATCCAGGGAATATCGATTTAAGATTGTGATTGATCATTAGGCTGTTTGTTCTCTTCCAAAATCACCGCGGTCCGTCCACCATCATTTCCTGTCAGTGTTTGGTATCGGTCTTCTTCTTTTTCCTTTTCATTTGCCGTATGGTCATTCTTGGCTTCTTTTTCTTTACCAAAAGACAAAGAAACGTATCGTGGATCTTCTTGTTTGGATGCTTCCCCCTGAACAATGATTTCCACGAACTCTGGCTTTGCTTCTTTATCGTCTGGAAGTGGTTCCTTCTTGGGCAGCTCGCCTGGGGAAGCGTAGCTTTGATCAACGGACTCACCGTTAGCCTCGTCTCGTTTGATATCCTCGGAAGAGGACATTTTAGTCATACCTATCTCAGCATAGATTGGATTGGACACTCCACTGGCCTCTGTCGTTTCTTGAAACGGAGAGAAGACCTCCGGATGTATGTCGTCGTAGTCTCCAGTACCGGCGCCGTCGTATCCCGGATTTTCAAAGGCCGTGGTGCGACGTTTCGACTCGTCCTCGTCTACTTCTCTCACATAAGGCAAGTTTAATTTACCTGTCCTCTTCATTCTAATAAAAATCAATTAAGACAAATGAATGAATGAATGAGGATGTTTAAATGTTGAGGATAGTTGATGTGATATTACGTTATGACGAGAGTTGATACACTCTGCAAATAATTATTGTATCGTATATAAAACCCGATTTCTTTTGTGCAGCCGGAAGAGCAAGATAATCTCAATGTGAGTAGTGAACTTTTCTACATAAGAATCTTACTCACCTGAAATACCAGACGGCCAAGGCAACCGTGATGAGAACAAGCCCCAAAGCTACGACTACCCCAGTAATCACTCCTGCATTCGATCGTCCGGATTGTGGCGCGGGCGTGGATTTTATGACTGATTTCTGTTTAACTGAGAGTACATCCCCTCCATTTTTACGTCCAATTGCCGCTGCGTTCTTTTTGGTCACATCAGCGACGAATGAAGCTGACACCGGCTCAGGTTCGCCTCTTTTAACCACAGCATACTCAACTTGGGTTCCTTCATCAACTTCTTTTGGATCAGAGGGAATGTAGATGTCTTCTTGTGTAAACGGGCCATTTACAGCGCGTTTGACGATAGACGCAGGGCTGATAAATTAAAATTATTGATAAGACATTGATAAACGAATTGCTGAATGAAATAAATGATAAAGAACGAGTTGGTTAGGGAAGCAGACTTATCAGTTTCAGGGTGCATATAACCACCAATATCCTGGTAGTGAACACTAATTAGTAGACAGGCAGACATGTAGGTAGGTAACTGAATGGGTAACTGAGCAGATTTCATAGGTAACGGACTGCGTGGTTACTTGAATAAAATTTATTGCGTAATTAGTTGGTAAATATAAATGTGCGGTGTACTTTTGTATTATGAAAGCTGAAGTTTCGAGCGTTAGCCTTTCGCCATTCGCTCTAATGAAGGGCCGGAACGCTCGAAACGTCAGCTTTGAAACTTTTTACGGTGGCCAATTTACTTTATCAACTCATTTGATAATACCTAATTACCCTTTTGTTCTCTCCCACCGACGCAGCACCACAGTTTGTTGAGAAACTTCCCCCCTTTAAATAGGCGGTGGCCTGGTAAATCGGTAGAAGGTGGCTAAATACGTAAGAGGGAAGGTAAATAGGCGTATTTCGCAAATAATTCCTACCTTTTGCTAAAAAGGCATGAGTCAGGGTTCGCATTGCATTCTTTATTTAGTGCTACCACAATTGAGCGTGTGAAGACTGTTAGATTGAACTAAAAAGATATAAACAAATAAGTTGACATCGCGATTACGAAGTCTCAGGGAGAGAGTGCGTTTACGACATAATGAAACTCAAAGGAAATCTCCCCAAAATTTTCAATTACGGGGTGGACCTTGATTAGAGTGATGCAAAAACTTTGTTTGCTGTTTCGTTTCACGCTAAGCTTGGTGATGGGACTATCGTAATAAATTAAGGGAATTAATTGCTTTGTAACGCACAGGGGAGAAAACCTTAAAGGTACCTTTTTGTTTAATTTTAAAGCAGCAACCTGCAAATTAAGATTGAAATTTTCCGTGTTCTGATCAGCTCGATACAGCTTCTTTACCCGAACATGGCTGGTTAAAAGAACTTGAAGAAATATTGCGATAAACAGTTGGGATGATATTTCGAATTTACCAAGACAGAGATTGAGGGTTTTTCTTCCTAATTTCCTTGCTCCTTGTTGATAAGCACAGATAAATTTATTAAAGACAGCAAAAACCCTACGAGCTCGTACAATTTGTCGTCTTTGAATTTAAGCCAAATGGAACAAGGCATCATGTCATTACCCAATACATAACAAAAAAACGGCATTACAGAAAGTCAAGACAGACGAAATTTTGGACAGCGCGCGCGCTATTTGTAATTTGCACTCGCGTTACATAAAAAATGCACTAATTTACAGCCAATCAGAAGTGCGTTTTTTTTTCATGTATATCATCAATTTTCGAAATGAAAATTTTGAGAACTTCATGTCAAATACGTAGACACCCAGTGGGGTGTATTTTATGAAGATGAACAAAGGCTAAAGTGTAATTCTTGACTAACCTCCGCTAAAGGCACCGCTAGTACCAACTGGACCGTTTCTTCTTCTGCATCAATGAAATATTGACTAAGTAAGTAAGAATTCGCCTCTTAACCTATCCTAGCCTGCCATTTTACTTATTTGTTGGCAGAAAGAGCGAAAAAGTGGGGACGCGAATTAAAAACGGTGGGACTCAACCTCATAACGCAGTCGTAACCCTAACGGTCACAACCTACGTTTTTCGTTCCCTCGCTCTTTCGCTCTTCTTCTTTGACAAAAAGCCAAGGACAGGCCAAACTAAGTCACATTTTAAAATGATGAATCAAAGACGTTCATAGAGACTTGAAAAACAGTTAGTCATCAGCTTGGTTTACATAAAAAGAAAAACTAAGGAAAATGAATAAAATAATAAAATAAACAAACAAAGATAGTAAAAACGTAAACTATAAATAACAAACAGAAACACTAATTTTTTTCTTTTAAGGAAGTTTTAAGAGTTAAATTTTTTATAAAGAATATATATATGAGGTTGTGTCTCGAATTTTCACAATTACACAATTGCACCTTTACACAGATTCTGACTCACCTATATCAACCGAGCAAGTTGGACCCCCAAAGTACCCCACACAGCGGCAATGGAACTTTTTATTGACTGCAGGTTCAGATATGCACGTGGCTCCGTTCATACAAGGCACGCTGGCACAGTAGTCAATAGGCGTTGTAGGGGGTGCTGTGGTCGTCGTAGGCGGCGGCCAAACCACAACTGACGGTGAGCAATTCTGTCCATCGTTTGTGATATTCGGGCAATCACATTTGTATCCAGATGGAATTTTGAAGCAGAGGTGCGTGCAGCTGTTTTTACTACATGGATGAATTGCTAAAAAAGAAATAAATTAAACCTAAGAGACTGAAAACCGCAGCTAGAGGTCTATTCAGACAATGGTTGTTCAAGTGCTTCAAAACAATTTTAGACGAACTTGGAAGGTATCCGCAAAAGACGAATGAGATGAGAGTAAAAAAAATGTGACAAGATAGTCAAATTTATTCTCGCTTTGTGCCAAAGTTAATTAGGAGGGAAACGAATGGCCCCTAAAAAAAATTTATACGGCTTCGTGATATCATGATACTGTCATAAGAAATACTCACTTTCTTGTTCATAACGACCTTTTTTGACTGCAATTCCCCTTTGTCCATGCAGCCCAGAAACCTCAACTGAAACATCAGCATAGTTGGTCTTGTTGACTCGCAGAACCATTGCATGCCATAACGTTTCACCCCAATATAAGTATTGGTCATCGACAGCAATTCCATGTGGTTGTAAGAACAAGAAGACATTTTGAAGAACCGTATGGATAGAGTTGTTTCCGGAATCGAGATCGATGTAGAAGATGGCGGACTCGTCGTAGCTCACAAAGTATATGCGGTTAAATGGAACGTCAAGGGTGATATACAAGGCATCAAAAGGTCTATCGAAGGAGGTGTTTCCCAGTGCAATTGTTGCTCTGTTTGATCCATCTAGTTGCGCGCTTTCAATAAAACCTAGAGCCGACCAGTACATGTACCTGGAAAAGAAACATTCTTCAAGATAAGGAAAAGAGTTTTTTCCTAAAGCCTTCCTGTTATTTCTCGCTTGAGCTGATTTTAAAAATTCGAAGTTAAGTTCACTTTATTGCAGATCAAGAGCACGAAATCAATTGTTGCGCCTCTTTTGCAAAATTCAAATTTCATATCTTCGATGGCGAAACGACAAAGAAAGATGGATATAAAAAGTAGGAGCCGAATTATAGTACCTTTTCTTTACACTTAGATTCGAGTCATCAATCCGATCAATAAAGCCAGCCTCAGTTTAACGTGCAACCATACAGAGATATGTATGTAAACGATGGCAATACCATGGCCTATCTTTGTAGTTTCCTGACATTTATGTCATTCAGCATCGATATACAATGTGTTAAAAATAAACTCCGTCTGTTTTATTCTTCTCGATACATTTCAGCCTAAAAACCCATTGAACTAAATATTGCTCAAAACTTTGCATTGTTCTGAACTAATTTACGTTTTTATTGTCGCATTAAACAAAAGCTAAGACTGACATAATCCATTGACATTCGTTACGTCACTCTCCAAAATTATTTTGTTAGTCACAGACGATAATAGGAGTCAAACGCGATAAAAAAATGCATTCTGCCTTAACAGTTCTAAGAACAGTTATCCGAAGTGCGTTGAGAACACTTGAACTCAAAGTACTAACATTGATTTTATGATGCCATAAATTTGACTTTAGAAATTGTTTTAATTTTATTTGAGTGGTTCAACTCTGAGTCACCGTTCAAAATGGGTGGAAGACGATAAAATCAGGTCGTTGAGAATCAAAGGTGACCACGATCGCTTAACAGAGGTGAAAAATTGCAGTGCTAAAAGGGAAAAATTTCGAGACTTTGACCGATCGCTTAATACAGGGTGACTCGTTAGTACGGTGCCGCTTAATACAGGTTTGATTGTACACTGTAACTGCGACAATGAAAGTTTAACCTACCCTCGAGTCGTATCCAAAACAATGTCCTGCGGTGATGGTTTCGGGTCAGAAATCAGCACTTTCCAGTTATCACCGTTGAGATTCGAGACTTCGATAGTACCTTCGTCACTGTTTATCCAAAACACATTTCGTCCCACAAGATCCAAACCAATTGCCGTTGGTGAACCGTTATTACGTATTACTTCGTACATCTCTCCATTAAATTTGGATCGAGCGATCATGCCCAGGGAGGGTTCAGTCCAATAGATACGGTCTTCGAATGGATCAAAAGCTACTCTAGTGGGATTTTGTACATTAGAAATTGGTAAAGGAGTCAGAATATCCCTAGTCAGCTCAGAGTAAGAAATCTTCTGGGAAAAGATATCAGCAACAAATATGACGTCACCAAGAGTACCTAGAGGTAAAAGGAGGCATAAATTAGTTTATCAAAGGGAGAAAACACACGATAGAAAGTAGACTTGTATGAAGCCACTTGGTCCAGTCACTTATCAGTGAAGATGGAAATCTGGATCTGGCTATCATGTCATGGTGTAGCATTCAAAATGAACAAAAGCACTCACTCGTATAGATGTTGGGTATGTGTAATCATTGTAAGACGAGGGCGACGTTTAAGTCAGAGGGTTGTTCAGTTCCTTGCAATGGAACCAAGGTTGATGAAGCCTAGTTGCCTTGACAATTACGTCATGATTACGTCTTAGATTTGTCGCCTAAAACCACACCTGGAAACCTTCACTAATTGTACATGACCATGAAATATGACAAGAACAGGAAAGATATGGTGTCTTTTACAAGTCATAAACTAAACACAATACACAAATAAACCTACAGGTTTTTCCATCTTCTTTTAGTACCATTCCAGACTTACACCTGCACTTCTGGTCATTTGGAGTCACTAGGCAGAGCTGTTCACATCCACCGTTATTCTGACATAGTGCTTCATCTGTAAAAGAAAAGTTTAATAAATTATTGGTTCTTGCTTAGCGTGCATATATCGAGTTATGGGTACACGCAGGAAGTTTAGATAGCACGAGACAAGCGTATGAGTTGCTCGAGGCGCCACTAGCTTTAGCTTGTTAAATTATTGTACGAGTCCTCTTTCAATTCTAGTTCTGTTAATCAGGTATCACAAAATTTAAAACTCAAAAGCAACTCGGCTGAGACGGGATTTTGCAAGGAAGTGTTGGTAATTTATTCAAACAAGCGCGACATCTACTGGCCAACTGATTATTTTTTTGTTTTTCCACAACAGTATATTACGAAAGTTAGTGCACCTCTCCACAAAATTAATTGGCTTAGTTTTTATTTTCACGCCGTAACTTCAAGAGGGGGCAGTTGAGCTAGTCCATGATTAGAAGTTCATTTGGTTTTAATTCCTAGAATTTACCTAGCACGTGATCAAATATCAAGTGTTTTTTTCGTTAACAACATCAGCAACAGAGATTTCCGATAACCCATCGTTTCTAATATTGGGTCTTTTTAATTCTTTTATGAGAGACCCAGCCTGTTTCACAGAAGTCCTGGTGGATAGCGGTATCAAAATTCTGTTCTTTGTCAGTCGTGTTTCCTTTCAAGATCGAGATGTTAGTAGTTTAAAAAGTCAAATAATAAGAAATTCAGACAACTAAACAGAATGGTGTGCGATTTTAGCGAATACCTGCACTTCTACGTCTTAAGATTCAAATTCTGACTTATGGTTTTGAGGTCGTTCAGCTACCTAGTCTTACGATGATATGATATAATTACCAGGAGTTATCATAGAGTTGTGTGCATATATCGCCGACGGATCCCCCAGATCAGCAATCATCTCTTGAGCAACTGGGTTGTCTGTAATATTTGCTTTGAATACGGCACCAGTAAACTTTCCGTCACCCGAAGAAGTCCAATACAGCGTATTGTTTATTAGTGTCAGTCCTCTAGGGTGATGGAGATTTCCGGAAATAAATGTGCGGACCTCTTTATTGTCCAGATTGATGTAACGTATGAAGTCATGGGTTTGGTCAGAAAAGTACAAGCGCTTGTTAGGTTTATCCAGTGCTAAGTTAATGTATGTATAACTTAGAACGAAGGGCATAGTTGCGATAAGCATCTGGTTTTGTCCATCCATATCGGCTCGATGAATTGTCGTATTGATTAATCCATGCGATACATAATATATGTACCTGTTCGAGACAAATCAAATCAAAATAAAACAATAGCAATGTGAAGTATATGAAATATTTAAATAAAATTATTTTTCTATTTATAAATCGCTGGCGATCCTTGAAATTTGATTGGCTTTCATCGGTGCGATTTATTCAAGAATCGCACCATTTTTACTCCAGCCAATGAGAAAGTGTTACAAAAAACACATGACTTTTAAGACTATTTAAAGTAACAAATCGAATTGCAGGAATATGAATGACAACTTTTGCACATTTTTACAAAATCAGCTCAGTACTGGATCAAAACATTTTTTTCATACAGACTGAAAAATCCTTTCTTTAAGTGGCTAAATCTTGCGATTTTAAAATGACTGTAATAACGTGATGATCAAACTGCGTGTTGAACAATTTTGGTCAGATAGAATACTTGTGATTTCAAATCAAACTCGCGTTGCGCACTCGTTCGATTTCGAAATCACGCGCATTATTTCAGAGCCAATAATATACATAAAAATTTTCAGTTGGCTCATTGGTTGAGAACACGCTAATTAATCCCAAACAGCGCAGGAAGATGTAATTGAATGCAGAAAGTTAAAATTAAAATCTTTCTTGATTTTTTTTGTGATTTCGCGACAGGTGAGTCGCGAAATCATAACAAAGTAATGGTAAAAAAATTCAAAATACCTAACAAAATTGGATTTTGAACACTTATCGAGGAATATTTCAATACAATAGCACCACTTCATGTCTTAAAAATTTTATCACTCTTGCCTAGAGATTTCATCAAGTCTTTCTTGATGCAAAGTGGATTATTTTGAGAAAAGTATCTGTAATAAAAACTTCTGGTGACAACAATTGAATCATATAAACCGTTATTCTTATAATGACCAAAATTTTAACCGTTCGTCGTAATTCGATTCCATCACCCCATCAACTTTCTCTCTCAAAAGTGTATACCGCGGATAAGCATAAAGACTCTTTCACACCTAATTCGGTGAAGCTTACCTTGATTCAATGTCTAAGACGATCCCTTGAGGAAACTCTACGTCAATTAGAACCGCTTGATAGGTTCCGTCAAGAGAGGCAACTCTAATATTATCGGCGTAAAAGTCAGCAAAGTAGATGTTCCTTCCAACAGTGTCTATTTGTACACCCGTTAGGAAATAGTCTCTGAGAACTATTTCATCCGTGCCATTATGTATGGAAGCTCTTCTAATTTCTCCATAGTAATCTGTCCAATACATCTGTTCCTCTTTGAAATCGTAGGCTACTGCGATTGGCTTAGAGTTGAGTGTAATCCTTAAAGGAATCGGCTGTGCAGTAGAATTGGGCGGAGGCAGAGGCTGAAAGTGGCAGAGTTTGCGATTGTCATCGCAAAATAGCAAGAAATCATCTGCATCTGTGGAAGTGCATATAAATGAAAAATATGTGTCTGTGAGACAACTTTTAACCTAGTGAAACCACTCGAGAAAGGAGATGTAACCTACAATTACTCATCACGCAAGGAGAGAGAATAATTTCTTCCGACTTCGTGACTAGGAAAATGGGATTAGCTCTGGCTCCCTGGCCGAGGAGCAGATTAATTAGCTTTTTAGTCAATCTTCGAACAGTTAAGTTACTCTTTGGAATCTCAAAATTCCGATGACGGATATGAAAGTTTATGGTACTATGTACTTTATCAAATACTGAAATATGTGTCACTATATATGTTTAGTCTCATGCTTTGATCCCAAAAAATCAATGCTCGACTAGCAGACAGCCACTTCGCGCCTACTAATGTCTAACTTTTGACACAGCCGAGCTTTAAGAATAAAATTCTTACCTGGACTTCGAGTATCATTCGTGCATATGACCGATGCATCTTCCTCGTGAAAGCAGTAGCCGATTACATTCCATCCTTTGTGCTGACAATCCTCGATTGAACTTTCAGTACCTAAACATTCCACATCTGCCAACCAGATGTGACCATTTCCTTCACCAAAAATAGCGTCCGTGGGAGCACTCAAAGCCTCCCGATAACCAAGTTCACGACACACAACGTCTGCATCCTTTTTATCCCAGGAATCGTCACAAATAGTTCCCCAGTGGCCATCATGAAATATCTCCACTCTTCCCTCACCCTCACGTATTCCGTCAGCTAGTCTCAGTATTTGACCTGAGGAAAAAACGTTAATTTAGTGGATGTTACAATGATGGAAAGGGTTTTTTTCTTGTAAAAGTCTTTAAAGCGAATATACAGGGTAAATAATGTGCATAAACAGAGTTCATCGTTACACCATGAGCTGTAAGAGAGTTTTGTAAATTGAGTCTCAAAATATGAAAAGCAATTTTGCTTTTGTTATCTTTTAATTTCTCGTGGGGAGTTTCAGACTAAAGTCATCTGTCATGCTGCGTGGAATAATGACTTGTTCTCGTGGTAAGGCCGGTAAACTTTTCTTTTTTTCTCATAAAAGGTTCTGTCGTTACGCAAAATGGAACGGACTTTACTTTCAGTCATCTTTGAAGTTTTTTTTGCGACCGACTAGTTTAGCCACTACGTCATTAAAAAGAAGAAAATTTCCACACTGCCATTTGGCGGAATTTTTAAATTTCTGTTTTCTAATATTTAATTTTACCAGCTTCTGGCTTACCTTGCCTTGGCAATGGAGTGTATTTGCAGACTACACCAACGTCATCAGAGTGGAGGCAGTTCTGACTTCCCCACCCACCATGGCGACATCCTGCAATGCTTTCTTCGTCGCCAACACAATGCACATCATCTAGCCAAATCTTGTCTGGTGTACTATATCCATCGTACCAACCGCAGCAGTGTGTACTCCAAGCACCTTCAGTATACCCCAGCATACGGCAAATGACGTTTGCTTCCTCGATTCCCCAATCGTCATCGCATATGGTTCCCCAAGTACCGTTAAGGAAGAGTTCCACTCTTCCTTGATTTGACGTGATTCCAGATCTTAAGCGAACCTTTAATTCTGGGCCAAGAGTAGGCAAAAAATCCTTAGTAATTTATTGTGGTCTCGTTAATACAACGCTATTCTGATATTTGCGATATGTAAAAAAATAAGACGATTGACTAAAATCATAATAAACTCACCCGGATGTGGTCCGGGAGAAAGTGTTGGGCCTTTAAAATGAAAAGCATAAAGCAGAACAGATTAGCTGTAAAATTCTAAATAAAACACACTAATGTTATTTTAATCCATTTTCCAGTCTCCTAGAGAAAACCTTATCGATGGCTTGTTAATGACCAAGCTCGAGGGCCGTATTTCTAGGGAATTTTGGCTCGAGGTCGGGCTAGTAGGGCCAATATTCCTCGGTGCCTTTCAAGCAAGCGATGTTAGCCTGTAGCTTGTTGTACTGCACTTGAACTAGACTTGTAAAATTTGACTCTTCCTGGTGTCGAGAACAAAAATACACGACTCGAACTATAACCTAATCTGTGGAAACGGCCCATATGGCAAAGTCCCGACCATATAATTCAGAATTATGAATAAAAGAATCTTAAACGTTCATAGAGATTATCATGAAAGTAAAAAACTCACAAACCGAATCCTTGGCCTAATGTTTCATTAAAGTGTCAGGCAGAAAGCTGACAGGCAGAAATCGGGACCAAAAAGCTTGAAGCAAATACCCAGTAGTAACAAACTCAATTTCGCAGGAGATGGAGTATGCTCAACCATACCATTACTCTCAATGCTATTTCATACTCAAGAAAACAATACCATACATCATTTAAAATAGAACCACGACTAGGCTCTGTTGTTGAGATATACTCGTGCCAAAGGTCTACAAACTGTGTTTACCTTCAGGAGAAGGAACAGAGTCATTTCTGCAGACAACTCCTGCGTCTTCGCTATGGAAGCAATTATGCATCTCCCAGCCATCGTGCTGACAAGCCGCAATGGTGTGCTCATCACCGCGGCACTTAACATTATCCATTAAAATGGGAAACGAAGAGTTCCCTGGTCCGAAGGATTCCACACGGTTGGCTCCCGAGAAGTTCAACATTTTACAGACAACTGTAGCCTCACTTATGCCCCAATGATCATCGCAGACTGTTCCCCATCTTCCTTGATGATACACCTCAACACGACCTTCGTCAGGGGAGTTGGAGCCCCTAAGACGTACTTTCACAACTGTCAAAAAACATAAGACAAATTATAGAATACAAGATACTGCAGAGAAAGGAAACTTTGAAACTCAGATTATATTTATTTGAGCTATTTTCATACTGTCTGGTCTGCTCTGAGAGTTCGTCAGACAAGTTCAGGTTTAATGCAACATTTCAGATGACAGTCCAAGAGTTATATGCTTATATGCCATGCGATCAAGGCAGAGCGATTAGAAAGAGAATCGTCACACCCTCCCCACTCTCCATGTTTACGGTAGAATCACGGATGATGCCAGTTGAAATTCGATGCTAATTTCCAAGCCTGCACGTTCCCGAAGCATTCCAGTCTCAGAAATGACCAAAAATGAATGCTTAAATGCCTACCTGGCACAGGCAGTGGAGGTGGCTCTGGTATAACGTCTAAAAAGACAAAGAGAAGACAAAAAATTGGCAAATCAAAAGGCTACATAATGCTAAATAAATGAGAAAGAAGAGAGGGTTTGCAACTGAAATAGCTTCTGTCTGCGCTTACATAGCGTCACCACGTTGTGAAAAAATAAAGAAAGAAAAAATATCAAATTTATAAAAGGTGGAGGGGGGGGGGAAGTGATGGTATGCCATCGAGAAAATAATGTACTGGCCTCTCCACCATTTACTTAATATTTATTTACTAGTAAATATTACCGTCACTGCAAGTCATATTGTCGTCTTCTAATTTCACACCAGATGGACATGCGCACTTGGTGAACCCGCCGGGAGCCACTAAGCAGAGATGGCTGCATCCACCGTTATGAATACGACACGGAGATTTGGGTGCTTCAAAGAAAAGAAGTTTTGTTAGTTATAAAATTTATAACTCGTTTTATGTTGATATCAGAGTCGTACTTCCCTTAATATGAAGCCTCATAAATAGAACCTGGACTGAGATCTTTGTCAAACCCTACCTATTAGTTGTTTATGTTATAAAAGCGAAAATTTGGAAATAAAATGGGGTTGCCCTTGTATTTTAAGAAGCAGTAGTATCCCCTAATTCTTATCAAATCATGACAAGTATATTTTCGAGTACTTGCTAGATCGTGTTTCTGAAGGAAAGTCATTGCTCAATTCCAATGAAGAGGAAAAAAAGTGATAGGTCACCGTGCTCGTTTGCGAGAAAATGACGATTTACTTCTCTGATGAGCTCGGACCATAGAGAAAAAGCTGCTTTTTTTATGTCCTCACCCCAGCTACGTGTGAAATTATGCGAAGTCAGGACGCAGTGCAATAATTTTCAGACATTCAATGTAAAAAGAAAAAAAGAATTTATATAAATTAACGGCGATTCATTCTATTTTCTTGAGAAAAATTGCCTTGATTCAATATGATCTTGCTTTTAAATATCTTACACCAGCATTGGGAATAAAATTATGATTAAGAGGACAAAAATAGCTCTAATATAAAAACAAAGCGTGGAAAGCAGAAAAAAAATTGATGAAACGTACAATTTGAAAGTAGAATTTGATAAAAACTGGATCATTGGATAATGCAGTTCAAGAACTTTCATGGGCTTAACCATCATGGGTTATGAGCGATTATACCATGCTCCACAAATATGGTAAGCGTATGCGTCAGCTCAAAATTAAAACAAAGCTAAAAAAAACTTATAAAAACATCCTTACTTTGGGACGTTCTTAATGAAACAATTATTCCACGAGCGCTTGTTGGATATAGCCAGCTAGGCTAACAATCATCTCATATCCAACGCTCGCTCGTGGAATAATTGTTAAACAGAAATATGTGTGTATGGACAGATATTTCCAAAGTTTGGCTGGAGCATATTTGGTCATGTGACCTGTTTTAACCAATCGTTTACGAGAGAAAGTATTTGATGGACTATCAACAACATTTAGGAGAACTACTTACCAACAGGTTGTCTCGATTTGTCTGACACCACAACACCCGTGGGGTACTCATCAGTGAGGTGTCCGAGGTTATAATGCATGCCTAGTTTCTGAGTCTTGTTCAAAAACTCAACGCTGTGACTATTCCTGTCCGCCCAATAAATAGAGTCGCCAAGCAAAGCAAGATCTGTTGGGCTTATGTTCTGTCCGATGTATGCATTGTAGACTACGTTATTCCCGTCCATGTCGGCTTGCTGAAATTCGTGAAAGTATCTGTCTATCCAGTGGATGGTCTCAGTTTCGTAGTCAACTATCACACTCATAGGATAACTCTGATACCAGGAAAAGTCAACTATGACTGTTGGATTTTCACCCGTTAGATCCAACCGTTCAATTCTTGGATTATCAGCAAGTCCTGTATCTGTCCAGAATAAGAACCTTGAAGAAGATAAAACATACCGATGCAATTGTCGTTCTATGAAATCCTGAGCGATCGAACTGAAATGATGTTCCACTTTTCAGTTAGGTTGATACATTTTTAACTCTACAACACCCAAGCTTTTGCCTTTGCTTATTTCTTAATGACGGTGAATTGATCAGGTCATGCTAAGCCATGTATCCTAACCACCCTCGGCCTGAGTCAAAGTTACAGTTTTTGCTAAGTCCATTGATCACAGCATACAATATGTTGCCTCTTTTATCAGAAAGAATGCTGGTAATTCTCCTGCATGAATTACCGTTCAATTGCAGACTATCGTCAGCTTTTTCTGGCCATCGAGTTAGAACGCATCAAGTTATAATAATAATAATGGTAATAATAATAATGATAATAATAACAATGGGATTTAGCAGTGTGTATTACATGAGGTGGCACTTCTTTTCCACTGTTTCCAAGTTGAGTTGAAATTTGGAATGTTGGTTTGATCCGGTCATGGCCCTGACTCGACATTTCCAATCCACAGTCTATTACACAAACCGTTTTACTAGCGGGCTTAACGCACGATAACATAAACATGGTTGAATCGACTGGCCTGGTGCAACCAATTTTTGTTATTATTTTTTTCTGATAAATTAATCACACTTAAACTGTGTACACGTATTGTGTCAAGGCCGACGCTCACAGCACAGAAGCCAGACCTATTGCTCGGTAAACCCAAAATCAGTCATTATGCAAACAACTGTAGCTTACCCATTCTTTGGATCGACAGCTATTCCTCGAGGACTGAAAATCCCATCCGATAGCAATGTCCTTCTAGAGCTTCCGTCAAGCTTCGCCACTTCAATCCTCTCGTAGATGAAATCAGTCCAGTAAAGGAGACCACTTTCCCATTCAACAGCCAATCCATCTATCTGTCCCAAATTGTCTCTTATGATGACCTTTGAGTGTCATATTAGTTTAAAAAAAAAATGAGTAAACAGACCATAAGACGTTTACGGAGCTATGTAGGACATATTAACCGAGAGAATTTTTCAATTAACTCTCGTATAGAGTATCGTAGATTTTGATCCTAAAGTACTGTTTTCAAAGTTATCACAGCAAATGTTTTCTGCCTGCTCGTCTTTTAAGAATAATAGCCTATTCTACCTTCTAGTATCAACCATTTTTTTCAAGGATCAGGTAATAATTTTATGCGTTTCGTGTGTTATGTTTGGTTTACCAATTTTTATTCTCTTCAACACATTCAGCATTAAGAGGAGCGTAATTACCTCCTTTTCACCAGAAGTTAGACTCATTCGATTTAACGTCCAAAGAGAGTTGTCACTCCAATAAATCATCCTTCCTCGATAGTGTATGTCGATTGCGCCGCCCTGGATAAGGTCAGACCTTACTGTCTTAACACTGACGTACGTTGAGTTAACGGATTTCAGGTCAATGCATTTAATGTTGTGCCGGTCGATAAAATAAAGACTGTTATCACTTTCACAACCGTAACGATCTTGAAAGAAGAAGAAAAGAATCTCATTAGCTATCATGAGTTAAGTATTAAGAATATAAAGGTAAGCAAAGGGAATAAAAATTGTTCGTAAATCGTTGGATCATTTTAAGGCAAAAAAAAGTGAATGAATTTCGTTTGTCTTCGTTGATTCCTGCGATGATCATAAGCCAAAAATGTCCCGTGTAAATCGCTTTTTGCGGGAGCATTGGCCGCAAAACAACAAAAATTGAAATTAATGAGGACATTTTTCTGTTCCCGGCTAAACTACTTACTTTTAACTTGTTCGCTCTCACTGCAGGGTGTGTTACTATCCTCATCAGAACATGCGCACTTGTAACCTCCGGGCTTTACCAGACAAAGATGACTGCAACTACCATTACATGGGTTATCGCCTGAACAATAGAAATTTGTTATGAAAAAAAGAGGTAAAATGGGGTTTGCATATCACGATATTATAGTTCATTATAACAGCAATTATTGATATATATTTATATATAGTTAAGTGTACTATATGGACGTAACTAAGAGGCCAACTCTTGACTGTTCTGGACGAGTTTAATGCACGTCGTTTCGGCCGTTCGGCCTTCTTCAGGTCAAAAAAAAAAGAAAATACATATATATATATATATATATAGGCTGCGTTCTGAAGCGAAGGTGACATTTCAAAATTTTTTTAAAGGTATACTCACTCTTCCGTGTATAATTGCCTTTTTTCACTGCAAGTCCTCTAGGGTCGTACAAACCGTGAAGAAAAAGGTCATAATCGCTTGTATCGTTCTTGTTAATTCGAAACACCCATCCAAAAAATGAATATTCATTCCAGTAAACATACTTGTCATCTACGGCAACTCCAAAAGGGTCGAAGAAAAGAAAAAAGTTTCGCAGCATCACTTGTACGCTGTGGCTACCTGAGTCGAGATCTATATACAGTAAAGCATATTCAAAGTAGCTCACAAAGTAGAGGCGATTCATTTCATGGTCTAAAGTGAGGCCTCTAGCATCGATTGTGGAACCGTAGTAAGTTTCACCCAAAGAGGCAATTATGCGTCTGTTCAATCCGTCCAGTTCTGCTCTTTCAATGTATCCTTCAGCTGACCAGTACATATACCTGAGTTAAGGTAAAAATCAGAATGAACTAACTTAGAAAAATCCTAATATCACTAAAATTTTGATCTTGCCCCTTCAGACTACATAAAAAGCATTATGATATAGAGTGATAAGTCGTATTTGCAAGCTCTAATACAACTATGGAGTAGAAGGCGAGTTTAACTACCTGCAAATGCTGAATAATAAAACTGAAAAACGTTATCTTAGCTTACCCTCTTGTTGTATCCAAAGCGATATCCACCGGAGATGGATGCAAATTATAAACTAACACTTTCCAGTGATCGCCGTTCAGCTTTGAGACCTCTATGGTCCTTTTGTCGCTGTTAATCCAAAATACGTTGCCTCCCACAAGGTCCACTTCGATGCCCATTGGTGAACTAACGTTCTCGCGAATTACTTCATACGTCTCTCCATCAAATGTAGATCGAGCGACCATGCCGAGTTTGGGATCAGTCCAATAGATTCGCTTTTCGATTGGATCAAAAGCAATACCAGTTGGAGTATCCATATTTGAAATTGGCAGAGGGCTGAGAATTTTCTCTGTGAGTCCAGCATAATAGATTTTCTGGTGATTGGTATCGGCAACAAATATGACATCACCAAGAATACCTGCAGGTCAAGACAAAGAAACCTAGTTCTTGTTTGCACAGGGGCCACAGCATACGAATTCTCCGTCAAACATTTAGGTTCTGGCTTCGCTACCAGATCTTCGATTCAGAGTTAGATCATAGGTTGTGTCAAAACGTAATCGTACCCTTCTTGTTTCTCACTAAGGTTAAAATGTGTGTGTGGGTACTCTGATATGCATCAGTGACATCAATCTGTCAACTTGCTTTGCTGAAGTCAAGAAATTTAATGGATTGATGTCAGCATAAGTAAATAACCGCTCCCATCTCTATCTGAAGAGATGGTGTAGTTGGTGAATCATAAGAATCAGATGTGAGTGGTAACCGATTAAGTTATGGGCAAATCCTTTGTTTATTACATTAGACTATTATAAACCCTCACCATAAACCGGATATTAATAATAATGATAATAAAAATAAAAATAATAATGATAATAATAGTAATTGTAATAATCTCAAACATAAGCTTAATCATATTAGTAAACGAAATAGTGCAAAAGGTACAAATACACTTACAAGATATTCCATCTTCCGCCAGCACCTGTCCAGCCTTACACATACATCTACTACCAGTGGGATTGACAACGCAGAGCTGTGAACATCCAGCATTATTTTCACACGGCGATGGCCCTGAAATAGAGATGTAATCCAATAGTAAGTAAGCTACTGTTAGGTTAAGTTTATCAACAGATCGGGTGACATGCTGCACTACTTGTCGAGCCAGTAAGTGACTGCTTTACTGGTTGTAATGAAAATATGAGGTATTATTATTTGGCAAAGGTAGTCTTGAGGTAAATCCGAGCGTTCTGATTGGTTCTTACTTGGTCGGTATTTTGTCATACGGAAACGGTCATACGCCATGTATTTTTGTTCGCAAAAGGCGGAAAAATTAAAGTTTGTCATGAGTGCCATACAAAAAATTAGTGCGAAATATTGGCTTTCGGCCGCTTATAAACGCACCACGCTTCGCTTGGTCATTATGACCATGACCTTGGGCAAATATTCTCCAGTGCGGCCCTCACGCTCGGTTAGTAAAAATTAATATGTCATTTCTTTAAATAATATTTTGATTACCGGGAACTTGAGAAGTCTTGGAGTTGTGGGCATAAATTCCACTTGGTTCTCCAAGACCGTCGACCTGCGCCTTTGCCACTGCGCCGTCAGATAAGTTGGCTTTGAACACGACTCCCGTGAATTGTCCTTCACCTGTGGCAGTCCAGTACAAGGTGTCTTTAAACAGCGCCAGTCCAGTTGGCGAGTGAAGATTTCCGGAAATCAGCGTATGGATCTCATGATTGGTCAAGTCGATGTATTTGATAACGTCATTGGTTTGGTCAGAAAAGAACAAGCGTTTGCTAACTTTATCCAGAACTATGTCAAGGAAAGTGTAGTAAGTAACGGATGACAAATTTGCGATAACTTGTTGGTTATTACCATCCATATCTGCTTTAGATATCATGGGGCTGCTACCAAGTGATGAATAATACATGACCCTGTTTACAAAGAAAAAAAAAAGGTGTAAAAACAAAGTGGAACAATATGACCAGCCTATGGGGGCTTTTTATTGCATAAAAAATTCATATGTCATTAGTGAGATTTAGAGGGAAATATCTACACGTACGTTAGTTTTTAAATCTAATTTAATAATATGCAATCTACCAAATTTTAATTTGCACCTAAATTCATGTTGGCACGGAATTGAAAATAAAACTAAAGCTAATTAATTTATTTCGAAAGGTACTCCTTTCGTGCTGATCTTTGAATCGGCTACTCCGAAATTCAATTCAGAGCAACGAAGCACCGCCCTAATTCTTGTGGGTGAGAAATATGAATGAGGCTCCCTTTTCTTGAATGACTGAATACTTGATACGCCATACTGAGTTTGTTAAGCCGAAAATCGTTTTTCCTCATCCAATTTTCACAGCTGTAACTTTTCAGCGATATTACATGGAAATTTACTGAATTTGTGAAGAGGTGAATACCACCCGGCCAAAGGAAACCGACTTGGACAGTCATGATGGAATAAGGAGAGGTTAAAACCTCATACAAAATAGAATACTTGCACAACATAAGATTAAATAGTTAACCGTTACTATGAGCTTGATCCCATTGATGACAAAGAGGGCGAAGGAAAAGTAGAACTGCATCAGGAGAACAGTATATACCTGTTACAGAAGCTGAATTATACAATATATTAAATGAAAATACCCTGATTCGCTGTCCAAAGCGATCGCTTGTGGGTTAGGTACGTAAACGAGGACATTTTGATGTGCCCCATCGAGAGAAGCAATGCTGATTTTGTCGCCGTAATAGTCGGCAAAGTAGATGTTCCTTCCAACAAGATCTAATTCAATGCCCATTGGATTGCCAATTCCCGTCACCACCAATTCTATAGAGCCATTATTAATGAATGCGCGGAAGATTCTTCCATATTCATCCGTCCAGTACATTTGTTTATGCATTGGATCGTAGGAAATTGCGACGGGCATATAGTATAATCCAAGCTTTAAGGCCATTGTTTGTGCTGGGGCTTCCTGTGGCAGCGGCATGAAGTAACACAGTTTTCGACGGCTCTCGCAAAATAACAGGAAATCGTCTCCGTCTGCAAATGAAAACACTAAAATATTTGAGGAGTGATTTTTTAATTTTGCAGGAAAAGACTTGAGTGAGCACAGGGGTGATATTTCAAGGAAATACATAAAAAAAGCCATTATTGAAATTGCCATCAGTCGATCAGAAGGGTCGAGTACACGCCAAATATGATTTACGCCAAAAAAAAAAAGAAAAAAAAAAGGAATAGTTTTGTTTGCTTACTGCTCGTTTCAGACCCTAAACAGTGATCACTAACAGCCCAATGATTTATGCCAAGCAGCGATAATTTTATACCGTAAATTTGAGATACTAGTACAATCATTTGAAAAACTTATTGCATACGCTGCTTTCGAAGACTACACCACTTTTAAAGATACAACTTCTCCTTCCGAAAGCAACCTCTGAATCCATTTTTTTTTTGGTATCATCACGGTTCTTCTGCACTTAATTAAAAAACATGACTTTTTAAAAGAATCTATAACGTTATGGTGTACAACTTACCTAGATTCTGGGTTTCATTTGAACAGATAACCGACGCGTCTTCCTCGTGATAGCAATAGCCGTATACACTCCATCCGCGATGAGGACAGTCTTCAATTGAGCTTTCGTTGCCCAGGCAACTCACGTCACTTAACCATATATGACCATTCCCTTCACCAAATGTAGCAAACGCAGGAGCAGCAAGAACTTCACTATATCCAAGTTGGCCGCAAACCACCTGCGCGTCCTTTGTATCCCATAGATCGTCGCAAATGGTACCCCAATGGCCGTCATGAAATATCTCTACTCTTCCTTCGCCGTCACGTACTCCGTCAGCTAGTCTCAAAATTTGATCTGAGAAAAAAAATTAAGGTATTATATGTTAAGTGAACATAAAACAACACAATTAAGTATTTTCGGAATCAGAAAAAAAAAGAAAATATTTTATGGTTAACCAACCAAGCCAGGAACCCATTACCTATTGGGCTCCTGACCAAGCTTGATACAAAATTGAGCCACGAGTAAATTTTTTTTGTGTCAGTGGCTAACTTTGAATCAATTGCTCCTTCTTCCGTATCATTTAGAAACTCAAATTTATAACGAATGACTAGGCTGTGGTACATTTTATACTTTAAATAGGGTGGAGAGATATTCAAAAGCCTTGTTTAGCCAGAAACCATAAGAATCCGGTCAGTTGACAAAAGTGTTGGGGTTTCTGTCTTTACTTGGCATGCTGGGTCTTAAGGACAATATGTATTTGCCACGAATATGTGTTCCTCAAGTAGGAGTCCAGCTTATACCTTTGAAAAGAGCAAAATGCCTGGATAATTTCAGCACGAATTTACATGCGCAGATTTCCTGTTCATGTTTTCGTGTTTGGAATATTCTGTACTCCAGTCAGAAAAAAAGTCAAACGAATTCCAGTTCACCTATTAGTTAGTTATCCTCTAAAGAAAGTGATATATTTTGTGCGTCTATTCTTTTCTATTAGGGAATAAAAATAATAGTAACCAGCATTTCAATAAAAATGCCAAACAGAATATCTACCTGGCCTTGGGGGTGGAGTGTATTTGCAGACTACACCAACGTCGTCAGAATGGAAGCAGTTGTGACTTCCCCATCCGCTATGGCGGCACTCTGCAATGCTTGTTTCATCACCGACGCAGTCCACATTGTCCAACCAAATCTGGTTTGGTGTACTGTATCCATCGTACCAGCCGCAGCAGTGTGTACTCCAAGCACCTTCGCTGAACCCCACCATGCGGCAAATGACGTTTGCTTCTTCGATTCCCCAGTTGTTGTCACATACGGTTCCCCATGTGTCGTTTAGATAAATTTCTACTCTTCCTTGATTTGACGTAGATCCAGAGCGCAATCGAACCCGTAGTTCTGTTAAGTATAAAGTAATAGGTCGTGGGCTCCATACTCTCATGCCTAGTTTCTAACTTGTATGCAATCACTCGTCGATATGACAAACTTAATGGGGTTTCGACATAGAATACTGTTTTAAGGAAAGTAAATTGAAGAAATTTTATATAACAAATAAACTCACCAGGGTGAGGGCCTGGGTCTAAGGTTGGACCTTGAAGGAAGAAAATATGAAATAAAGTGAAATTATAGCAACGAGATTGCGAGGCTATAGAGCAGCGATAACGATGTCTCGTTTGTTAAACTGCATTTTCCCTATAATCACAATATGATTACAATACCCCTTATGAGGAGAGACAAAAGCATTGACCTTGGCATACATAATCCTTTCACTCCCATGAGTGACTCAGACAGACTTTCTCCTTACAAAACAATTTTGCCAGCAGGTGATAAGAAAAATGAAAGTATCAATCAGGGGATTATTTGTTAATCCAATACCAAATTCTCCAAACTAACATCATGAGGATTGTATAGCAGACGGAAAGGGGAATTGCTAGTGACATCTTGGGAGTGAAAGGATTCAAGGCAACTACGTCTGGGATAAAGCTGAAAACGCATCGGAACAAACGAAAAAGCATCAACCGACCACATGAACGCCTTTGGCAAAAAGAAAATCTAAGTAACACCCTCGTTGTGTCTTCATCCTAGTGTCTCGAAATCCAAACTTTTTAAGGCGGACTGGGGAGTTACTACCTTCAGTGGTAGGAATAGAATTATTCCTGCATACAACTCCTACGTCTTCGCCATGGCCGCAATCACTCATCTCCCAGCCATTGTGCTGACAGGCAGCGATACTTTTTTCATCGCCACGGCACTTGACATTATCCATTAAAATGGGAAACGAATAGTTCCCTGGTCCGAAGGATTCCACACGGATGGCTCCCGTGAAGTTCAACATCTTACAGACCACTGTAGCCTCACTCATGCCCCAATGATCATCGCAGACTGTCCCCCATCTTCCTTGATGATACACTTCAACGCGACCTTCGTGAGATGAGTTGGTGCCACTAAGGCGTACTTTGAGATCTGTGAGAAAAACGTCGACTATACTCAGTAGATGTCCAGAAAACCTAGAATTATTATGATCAAACGTGTAAACAATTACATTCCATATTCCTGAGAGCCTTTTTCCGAATTATTTTCAACATACAATTATAACAAGAAATCGAGCAATTCGTTAGTAATTTGGTAACATCTTCCAATATGCTTTGTTTGCTTCTCCCATAATCTCTTGTGTTCTTAATCGATAGCATAACCACAGTTTTAACTATTTGCTCCACCTCCACCCTCTAGAAGAGACGATGTAAAAATTCATGCAGAAAACAGGTAGTAGAGACAGAGAGAGTTAGAACTCGTAAAATAACAGTAAATTTTTCGAAAGAATTCAAATGAAATGTAAACCATAAAAAAAAAAAGTATCAGATGTTAGCAAAATGCCAAGATTGCGCCTCAGCGCAAAACAAAATTAACTAAAAAGAAGTACACATTAGAAATTACCTGGTACAGGTGGCGGTGGTGGTTTTGGCTGAGTAGCTATAAAAATTGGGAACAAAGAAATGGAATCAGCTAAAGAATTATCGTTATTCAACCCTTTAATTACCATAAATGACCAGAGCAGATTTTCTCTTCACAATGCAATTCCAGATACACAAGTGACCAGAATACTAAACGATGTCAATTATGGGATTATTAGTTGATCCAACCCAAATTCTCCGAACCATCATCATAACAATTGTATGACCGACCGTAAGGAGAAATAAAGGGTTAAAGCCAAGGTAGAGCCTGAGCCTTGGAATCTGTGGCGGGGCATTTCTTTTCGTCATCAATACCTTTACACAGAAGATATTGATCTAACTGTGCAATATTGAGTGAAAAACAAAGTTATTGTACGGACTTCTCACATGCATTTCTCTCAGCGAGAATGTTTGGTAGAGGTGAAATTTGAACGGAATGAGAAGATGGAAGGAGCAACTGTAACAGGGTTTTAAAACAGTGTTTCTAAGCTACGTTATACGTTGGTAAGGATAAAGTGGGGTAAAGTCAGAGTTATGAGTGGCATATGGGGAATCTAATAGGGAATTTAGTTACCGTTACTACAAGTCTTTCCCCCGGCTTCTAATTCTACACCATTTGGACAGGCGCATTTGCTTCCTCCATTAGGAGCCAATAAACAGAGATGGCTACACCCTCCATTGTTAATACGACACGGTGGCCTGTTCATTGGAGACGCTGAAGAAAAAAAAGCAGTGAGTTGTTAGACAAAGGAAAATTTATCTCGGCTCGAGTTACGTGTTCTAAAACTTTAATATGTCTATGGCGTTCGTGCGCCAATGCAGTTACTTTTACCCCGGATATCTCAGCAAAGTTTCACAGAATGGTCAGGGCATTAGAGGTAACGAGAGCAGAACTGTATGAGAAAAAAAATGAAATTCAGTTACCAACTGGTTGTCTTGACTCGTCTGATACCACAACACCTGCTGGCGTGTCATCAGTAAGATGTCCAAAGTTATAATGCTGGCCTTTACCCTCCGTCTTATTAAAATACTCAATGCTGCGACTATTTCTGTCCGCCCAGTAGAGGTAGTCGCCATACAAAGCTAAATCTGCGGGATTTATGTTCTGCACAATGAACTCCAAATTGGCTTTGTTGTTCCCGTCTAAGTCTGCTTGATCGATGTAATTGTCGTAACGATCTATCCAATAGATAGTCTCGGTCTCATATTCAATAATAACACTCATAGGGAAAATCTGAAAGTACCAGTCATATCCAAATTCAACCACGATTGTTCGATTTTCACCGGTTAGATCTGCTCGTTCAATTCTTGGATGATCGAATCCATAGTCTGTCCAAAACAAGTACCTTGAGAGAGATTGGTAACGAGAGAGGGAATGGGAGAGAGAGAGAGAAAATAACATATATCAGGAGTGTCTTTCTATGGGTTTTCAGTACACTCGAGTCTGGAAGCAGCACGCCAACAGACGTTAGCAGTGACATTAAAAAGACTTTATTTTATTCTAAAATATCCCAATCATTTGCATCCTTCTTGGTCATCATTATCTTCGTCATCATCGTCGTCGTCATCATCGTCATCGTGATAATCTCGGCCAGCGACGCAATTAAGTGTCTAATATCATTCTTAAATGTTTCACAGTTTTCATTTTGATTATATTCATAGCAATTGTCATAATTCTGAAATAGGATTCCCCGTGCTTTTTCCATCAAAAAGCCAGAAAGCGGTACTGTGTTATTCCCTGAATGGATCAAAATTAATAAGGAGGTTATCTGTTTCTTACTGGCTGCGCCAGCCAAAAGGCTTTAAGGACTTTAATGGCTTACCCACTCTTTGGATCAACAGCAATTCCACGAGGGCTGTATAAAGAGGTTGAAATTAAAGTTTTTCTGAATTTTCCGTCCAGCGTTGCCACTTCAATCCTCTCAAAGATGAAATCAGTCCAGTAAAGCAGACCGCTCTCCCATTCAACAGCGATGCCATCGACTTGTCCCAGATCGTCTCTAATAATGACCTTTAATCAATGAAGCACGTGGTTCATTAACCAAAATGCATCGAACAGTTTATAATCCATTAAATTCCGGAATACGTCTATTACTCATTTCTATCCCACTTGATATACCTGAGTGTACATTTCTCTGAAAAGAAGGATACATTTTAAACTATGAAAAATGTAAGTCTATCTTTTTTGTAAGCTGGTTCTTTCTTTTCTTAAACTGCAAACTGCACGTATTCCCTATGCCAGTAGCCTCACGAGTCTCCCAACCATTTTGCTGTACTTTGGATTAAGAAATCAGTCGCGATCTTTACATAGACACATAATGCTTTATTAAATCCCTTTCATAGGGACTACAGCGGCAAAATATCAAGTCATTACTATATACCAGAATCTAGTATGACAAAAGATGCCCTCGATCGGCATGAATAATAACCTAAAATGTCTATGTCTCTAGGTCATGTTATCGCCTAAAGTCCTATTTACAGTGCTGGTTAAAAAAAGGAAAAAGTAGAAGATTCCTTTACCTCACTTTCACCAGTAACAAGGCTCATTCGATTTAAAGTCCATAAGGCGTTATCACTCCAAAATACCATTCTCTCCCGATGGTCTAGATCAATTGCGCCTCCTTTTATGAGGTCATCTCTCACTGTCTTAACGCTTACGTACGTATTGTTAGTGGAATCCAAATCAATACATTTGATGTGGTGGTCGTCAATAAAATAAAGACTTGGGTCGTTAGTGCAGCCGAAAACATCTTTAAAGATAAAAAAAATTTTATGTTAAATATGATCTGATTCAACTGAATTAACTAATTTTCTGATCGCAACTTACTCGTGATGTTAATGCTCTCAAAGCAGGGAGTGGCGGTGTCGGCGGAACATGCGCATTTATAGCCACCAGGTTTCAAAAGACAAAGATGACTGCATTCTTCAACACATGGATGATAATCTAGAAAATATTTTATTAATAGCAATCAGTACCTTGAAACGCAGAATGAAAATGATCTTCACTCCATCGAGCGTATGTGAGCCGCAACGTGATGAAATATCAGAACTAGTTGAACAAAAAAAATTTGGGAGAGACCCTTCCTGTGATCACCTCAAAATTCTATGTAGCATTTTGAATTAGGAGACGTCGCGAAAAATATGGTTGGCAGCTATCACCCTTATTTTCTTTAATTACAACTATTTTAAGTTTGGAATGATCGCTGATGATACCGAGCCGGCCTATGAGATCGCGTCAGCGGAGAATCCTACTATTTCTGTGGAAGAAGCAATAGTGAACTTGGTTATGTCAGAAAGGTAGCGCAGATTTCCTGGCGGAGAAAGATAAATAATACGGGTTTGTCCCTCTGCAAAGAAATTTGAGATAAGATTGAAAATGTTGATACAAAATTCAGACTTAAGTAGGATACTTTTACATAATATTAGCCTTACAATATCTTCAAAGCTCATATCTAAGCATTCAAGTTACCTTGTACATCCTCAGGGTTAAATATGTTGACGCCTCTCGGTGTGTACTGGTAGGGAATCAGCTCGACAACAACCGAGTCCAGACCTCTGCTGGCTCTTATAACGTTTCCTAGCAACCAGTCCGTCCAGTAAAAGTAGTGAGCGTCAAGAGCAAGCCCCAAGGGATAATGTAAGTAATTGCTGTAGTCGATGTGATACACGATTTCACTATTTGGATAACGAAGGTCAATGTATTGCAAACTAGGATCCTGATCTCCTACCCAATACAAAACATTTTCGTCCACATCTATGGCGAGCGCGGTGGGTCGCTGATAGGGAAATTGAGTGAACTCCACCAATGTGGTAATATCGCTTCCGTCCAGTTGTGCCCTGTTAATCATCGTCGGATTTCCCCAAGCAGAGTAGTACATATATCTAAATTCACACAAGCATTTTTTTCAGACAGTTTCTCATCATCAGTGTAAATGACCTTTAGTCAAACCAAGTATGTATTTACAGTTGGTGTACATTTGAATACATTAGGAAAAAAACTCTCCCACATACAAAAACGATAATAAAAATGCTCTGGGAGCTAGAGATTATAAACCTATAATATCTTGTCTGAGAGACATTCATAACGTTTTCTTTTTGAGAAGAAAGTCCCTCATTTTGGGAGTGGCCATTTGTTATTGGAGCTTATCGTTGGAGTTTCCCTCTTGGATGAGATGCTAATCTAATAAAGGTAACCAACAAGGTATTCTAAAATGGTTGTATCCATGTATACTCACGAGTGAAAAGAGGCGTATTTACCTTCAGGTAACTCGGATTATTAAAAAAAATTGACGTCTCGATGTCTATGTAAGATCAGAGGGGCAAAATAATACCAGCAACAGCCACAGGAGAGTTTGTCAATACTCGGATCTTTTCATTCTGTTCGTTGGATGCACAGCACTTTTTTTATGTAACAATCTCACATAAAATTCTTGATGCACTCACCCTCGTTGAATGTCAATCGCCAAGCCAACCAGATTATGCATTTGGCTCTGAATAAGCACTTTTCTGTACTTTCCATCGAGCTTTGCGACTTCAACTGTTTTCTTGTCCCTGTCAGTGAAATAGATGTTTCCTGCGTAGCTGTCCACAGCAATTGCCATAGAGTAACTCACATTTTGTAAGATTATTTCCTCATTTGTACCATCCAGGTTTGAACGAGCGATATGTTTCATTGTCAGGTCCGACCAATAAATCTTCTCCTCTGCCGAGTGAGATGCGATAGCCGATGGACAGGCCACCTGTTCAAGAGGTAGAGTATTTGCCACTGAAAACAAGTCATCTCCACCCAATGGAGACTTGTAGATCTCGCTGAAGTAACACTCGGTATGCAGAATCAGCCGAAGATATTTGCCTTGGAATTCCAAGAAAAGACAGACAAAAATAAGTGCTGTGGGTCATACATTTCGTTTATTTTTCAAATATCGGAAAATTTAATGAAAAGAAAGATCTAAAAAAAAATTTGTTGTTAGCTCATTCGAATCACAGTGGACTCAAAGTATTTCCCCGTGGGGAATTTTTATGAAGGTAAGTGCTGTCACTGAGTTCCATACGGCGCAAGGAGTACCCCAGGGCAAACGCCCCTCGTTCAGCTTAAATTTTTCTTGTTCAAATTCCGTTTTCCTAATACGGAGAACGCTCTGCATATTCGGTACTCACTATGAGCAAACGCAAGAAAAACATGGTTTTCATAGCATGTTTGCCGGCGTCTGGAAAACTCCTCTGTTCAGTCTGTTTTCTTTGAAATTTTTGATCGGTTATCCAGCGTAAGTTGTCACGTTGTTCGTTTTGTATTTTCCTGAAGCGGTGAACGCGGTGAAAACGTGATATTCGGTTTATTTATATGGTTTTCCAGCACGATCGTTACACTGGTTAACATACTGATTTTTTAATTGTTTTCTAACTTTCTCTGGAGTGTTTTAACATAGTATTTTCTGTGTGTTGTCACGAGTCAGCTAACGCTGTGAAAACTCGATATTCAACTTCGATCATCACGCAACTGTATAAAGCCAATGAACAGTCGTTTTCTGTATACTTTAATTCACCAACAAGAAAACAACAGGAAATTTTGGATTTTCCATTTGGAAAATGTTAGAAAACGTTCGCATGATGCTGTTTTCCAAGAGATAATGCTCGTTTTCCGATCGGGTGAGCACCATTTTTTTGGCATTGCCCTTCATTCATGCAATAAGAGTTAGACTGTGATAAAAAATTAGGGCGTTAAACAACTGTACAAAGCGTGAATAGTTACAGCATGATATCAAATTTGTATGATTAAATGAACGCATCACGAGGCAGATAGGACTTTATAGAGCAAGGACTTTTCAAAGGGGGGATCAAACAGAAGTTACTCACAAGTTTTCGTCACCTAAACATTGTAGGTTTAAA